CTTCCTCGCTGCAACATTCCTCACACCCATGCTTCACACCCATAATAAGACGTTGGTAAAACATATACTCACATACATTCCCTCTTTGCCTCCAAAGGACAAAGTTCTTTGGTCTTCCAGAGACTCCTAGTGCACCACTCACCCTTTTTCTCCCCTCATCAATTCTATGATTCACCTCATCTTTTCCATAGACCATCCGCTGACTCGTCCACTCCCAAATATCTGAAGACATTCACCTCCCCATACTCACCTCTCTGCCCCCCTCCACATCTGATATCCAATCTTTCACACCTAATCTTTTTGTTATCCGCATAACCATACTCTTTCCTGTATTCGCTTTCAATTTTCCTTCTTTTGCACACCCTACCAAATTCAATCCACCAATCTCTGCCAACTCTTTTCAGAATCTCCCACGAGCACAGTGTCATCAGCAAGAGCAACTGTGACAACTCCCACTTTAATGTGTGATTCTTTATCTTTTAACTCCACGCCTCTTGCCAAGACCCTCGCATTTGACTTCTCTAACAACCCCATCTATAAATATATTTAAACAACCACGGTGACAATCACACATCCTAGTCTAAGGCCACTTTTACTGGAAATAATTTCCCTCTTTCCAACATAATCCTAAAACTTGAGCCTCACAATCCTCTAAAAAAGCTTCAACTGCTTCAGTAACCTACCTCCTACACCATACACCCCTGCAACATCTGCCACATTGGCCCCCCTATCCACCCTTCATACGCCCTTTTCCTAATCCATAATGCCACAAAGGACTCTTTAGCCTTATCTAAATACTTTTCACTTATATGTTTTCACTGTAAACACCTGGTCCCACACCCCCTGGCTTTAGGAAAGGTAGGGGGTGGTGTGGCCAGGTTTTACAGTGAAACATATAATGAACAGTAATTAAGATAAGGCTAAAGAATCCCTATGGGGCATTTTATGGATGGAAAAGGCTTATGGAACAGGGTGTATATGGGGCAATGTGCATATGTTGGTCAGGTGTAGGTGTAGGAGGTAGGTTTACTGAAAAGCAGTGAAGAGTTTTTTACGAGGATAGTGAGCTCAAGTTTAGAGTATTAGGAAAAGAGGGAAAATTATTTCCCAGTAAAAGTAGCCTTAACAAGGATGTGTATGTTCCACCATGGCTGTTTAATATATTTAATAGAATGGGGTGTAGAGAAGTAAAAATGCGAGGGTCTTGGCAAGAGGCGTGGAAGTTAAAAGATAAAGAATTCACACATAAAGTGGGAGTTGTCACAGTTGCCTTTGCTGTTGACACTGTGCTGCTTGGAATTCTGAAGAGAAGTGCAGAGATTGGTGGATGAATTTGTTTAGGGTGTGCAAAAGAAAGAAAATTGAAAAGGAATAACAGAAAGAGTAAGGTTATGGAGGATAACACAAAGATTAGGTGATGAAAGATTGTGATATCAGATTGGAGGGAGAGATATGGAGAGGTGAAGTATTGCAGATATTTGGAGTGGACGTGTCAGCGGATGGGGTCCTATGAAAGGATTAGGAGAATCATAGAACTGATGATGGGAAAAGGGGATGGTGCACTTAGGAAGTCTGTGGAGACAAGAATTTGTCCCTAGGAGGCAAAGAGGTAATGGTATGAGGTATAGTTATACCAACGCTCTTATATGGGGTGTGAAGCATGGTGATGAATGTTTTGCCGCGAGGAGAGTCTGGAGGAGTTGGAGATGTCCTGTCGAGAGCAATGTGTTGTGTGGAATATAATGCAGAGAATTCGTTAGTTTGGAAGTTAGGAGGAGGTGCGGGATTACCAAAACTGTTGTCTAGCCAGAGGGTCTGAGGAAGGGTTTTGAGTGTGGTTCGGCACATGTGGAGAAATGGAGCGAATACAGAATAACTTTCAAGAGTGGTATCAGTCCTGTAGTGGAAGGAATGCGGGGTAAGGGTCGGCCTAGGATAGGTTGGAGGGAGGGGGTTATATAGTATTGTGTGCGAGGGGCTTGGACTTCCAGGCAGGCATGCGTGAGAGTGTTTGATAGGATGAATGGAGACAAGGTGGTTTTTTAATACGTTGACGTGGCTGGTTGGCGTGTGGAGCAAAGTACATTATGAATGGGTTCATGGAAACCGGCAGGCCGACTTTTGAGCCCTGGAGATGGAAGTACAGTGGCCTGCACTCTGAAGAAGGGGTTTTATTGTTGCATGTTTAAAAACCTGTAGTGTAAAGCCACCCTTCTGGCAGACAGTGATGGAGTGAATGGATGGTGAAAGTTTTTCTTTTTCGGGCCACCAGCCTTGGTGGGAATCGCCAGTGTGATGATAAAAATAAAAAAAAAAAAAAAAACATACTCAACCCTTGCCAATATTGGATTAGGAAAATAAAAGCACTAATGAGCAACCATAAAAATGCTAGATCTGCTTTAAACACAGCATTGGAAATATGGAATATCCACTAGGAAATTTTTATTACCTAAGAAAAGCTTTTGACAACAGAGACCCGGCATCCACCCCACAAACTTTACCATTATGGTATAAGAGGCCAAGCGCTTGCATATTTCAAAATCTTAACCTTACCTAATAGGTATCCAGTAATTCACCCTTACAGACACAGAGCATCAACAACACAGCCACTTGATACTGGAGTTCCGAGGGGAAGTGTACCCCTTGGACCCCTGCTCTTTTCCTACATATACATCAATGATCTCAACGTATCTCAACACCTGAACCCCATTCTCTTTGCTGATGACACGACTTATGTCATCTCTCACCCTAATCTTGCACCGCTCAACACCAATTGTTATGATGAGGCTGATCAAAATATCGACTTGATGACACCAATAAACTTAGGTCTTAACACTGACAAAACCTACTACATTATGTTTGATAGCAGAGCAGGAGAATGCGCAAATTAACATTAAGAATCGACAACACACTAATTGCCAGGCATAATGAGGCAAATTTCCTAGGCCTATACCTTGATACAACCAGAACTAACTTCAGCACCCCATAGCCAACACATAACCAAAAAAGTTTCCAAAACGGTTGGATCCTCTCCTAGATATAAACGATACTATTCTGCCGCAAACGCCCTTCTCATCTATAACCATTCACTTAATTTATCCATACCTCACCTATGCTATAGTGCTTGGGTTCAACCTGCAGCAAACACACCAAATGCCAATAATATCCCAACAAAAAGCCGCAGTAATATTAATCACTAATCCCATCCCTGGCATCACACCCCCCTACTCTTCATAGATCTAAACTTACTCCCTTTCATACAATCCACACATACTACTGTGCATTCTACAACTACAGGACCTTAAATTCCAATATTAACCTGACCTAAAACGCTTTCTTGATAGTTTGTGCAGAACCCACAGGCACAATACCAGACCACAAACATCTCTATGACATTCCCAGTTCCGACTAAACCCTTTACAAAAATTTCAATGTAAGTTCAAGGCCCTAAAATCTGGAACACCCTCCCTAAAAATTCTAAAACTTGCAGACACATTCATCACCTATCAAAACTACCATCATAGAAAACATCTCATCTCCCGATACACCCTGTCAACTAATTACACCGACTACCACCTTGTGTTAACACATACACTCATCACCCATTTGACCATAAACAGAAATATCAAACTCAATCTCAAATAATGAATCTTAACCTAGTCATAAGTTTTGGTCCTGTGATATTCCAATACTGAAAACCTAAGTATAGTGCCAAAACAAAAGCAATTCACATTGCTAAACTCACAAACTAGTTATTTAGTCACTTAAGCCAAATACCAACTTACCCATAAATTGGTTAATATTTTAATCTTAAGATTTAATTTAAGTCTGCCCGAAAGCCTAAGCCATGGCTAGGTGTTTCCTAAGTGTACAACTGTAATTATTATTTTACTACATTAAACCTCACAAAAACCAAATTCTGTAAACTCAGCATTGTAATCCCTTATAGAGAATGAAAACTTTGAATTTGAATTGAATGTTTTGTGAGAATAAAAAATCAAAATGGAAAAGCAAAGAATGTTAACAGGGGCGTGGGGACATGACTAATGAACAAGGATAATGTTATTTTAGTGCCAGAATGTCTTACATGTTTATTCTGGACCCTATTTGGAAATTCATCTTGAATTTGTGTGAAATTGGCAAAATTGCTAAATTCTGACCACTGAATGGATAGTTGAAATGGGTAAATTTGTGGTTTCTTGTACTCATTTGATAGAAAAGATGGAGTTTCAAGTGAAATAGTTATATTTTTTGTCGACTTGTACACTGAATTGGCCGAAAATAGGGCTTCAAAGGGGGCAAAATTGCCGATGCGTAAACAATCGTCCGAGAGTGCTAACTTCGCGAGAAGCATAATTCCGTAAGTTTATCCATCAATTTTCATACGTTTGGTGTCATTTATGATGGGGAACAGATTCTCTATCATTTTCATAAGATTTTTTTTTTTTTTCTTTTTTTTTTTTTTAAAATTTTGGGACCCTGAAAACAATCTTTGAGAGGGGCCATTTGGACCCTGAAGGGGTAACTTGATTACATTATTTCTTATGGAAATCTTACTTCGGTTGTCATTGTTTCGGATTAGAATGACCTTCAGGAACAGATTAGTATGACATTCGAGTTCCCCCCCTGTACTAGATTAGTCTGCCTAATGCCCTGGCATTATAATGGCTTCCTTTGTACTTATCAAGCCGAAATTATAATTCACATAGTAACCTTTACAAGAAAATAAATTCTTTAAATCTTAATGTATTTAACTGTACTAGTTTGGAAAAAGATGTGTAGTGGAAATTGATTCAAAGTAAGAATATCTACCCTGCTTTACGAATAATGACTATCTAAGCAGGCAAATAGTATTTCGATTGTTTAGAAGATAGGAATTGTTTTCTAACCATATTAAGATATGTACAAATTTTTATCTCATAGGCCACTTGGTATGTCCCCCTTCTCACAAAATGCAACCCCTATACGTGTTTCTGCACAACTCTGTCTGGTCACCTTAGTGGGCCTTCTTCTCGATCCCTGGGTGGATGGGTAATTGGCTATCTTGGAGAGAGTGTTCTGGACCCCAGGCCTGTGCTGCAGAATGCTTGATAATGTTGGTGGAATGCTCTGTCTTACTTGGTATAAGTGGCAGTGCAGCCAATGAGATATTAATAAGTTCTTTTATTACCTTGATACGTTTAACTTTGCGCTGGAGTACTTTTCCCAAGGGGATGGGCCAGTACAGAATAGATTTCTGTTAATAACCCCTCAACAGTTAGGGTAGCTTTCTTTATTTCCTTGAATGCTAATGGAGACTTACATTTACCATTTTCGCTTGTAAAAAGATTTTCCAGTACAAAATCTGTCATATGAGAATTCAAACTTATTTAAAAAAAAATTTTTTTTGTGAAGCAATTCCCTGCCCCATACTTTGTAAGAAAGGAACTCTCTTAACCCATTACACTTTTGTGTCCGAAGGACTTCTCTCTTCATTGAAATTCCACTTTCCTATACAAAATACAAAAATACAAGCTTCCCCATTCCTCATAGCCCCAGTTTCACAATGCTTGTGCCCGTCCTTCCCTCTTCACCCCTGTTTAATTATGGTATCAGCTAAATATGTAACTCATTTTAACTGCTTGCCCACAGCTTAAGCTGTATTGCTTTAGTTTATATATATATATAATATATATATAGTATATATAATATATATATATATATATAAATAATATATATATATATATAATATACGTATATATATATATAGGTTGGTAGAACAGCAACCACCCAGGGAAAGTACTAACGTCCTGCCAAGATTAACTGTGAAACAAAAAACCTGTAACTGGTTTTGGCATGATGGTAGGATTGCTGGTTTCTTTTTCCTGTCCCTCATAAACACGCTAAGTAACAGATATCTTGCTACTCCTACTTTACCTTTGGTCACACTTCACAGACACGCACATGCATATATATATATATACATACATCCTAGGTTTTTCTCCTTTTACTAAATAGCTCCTTGTTCTTTTTATTTTCACTATTGCCCATGGAAGTGGAACAGAATTCTTCCTCCGTAAGCCATGCGTGTTGTAAAGGCTACTAAAATGCCGTGAGCAAGTGGCTAGTATCCTCTTCTCCTGTATATATTACTAAAATGTAAAAGGAGAAACTTTCGTTTTTTTTTCCCTTTTGGGCCACCCGCCTCGGTGGGAAACGCCGTGTGTTGAAAGAAAGAAGAAGAAGAATAGGGAAGTTTTTGTGATATTCGTGTATAGGGCAAGGAGGAATAACATCTGTGTAGGAGTGAGAATAGCCAGTTGTGAGTGTTGGGAACTAGTTCGTGAGGGAAACACAGAAGGTAAAATGAAAGGGGGTAAGGCAAGCCGGGATTGATGGGATAAAGATAGAAATTTAAAAGCAGGTGTGGATATAGTTTTTTGGAGTGGTTGGTGCCAATTATTTAATAAAGTATGGAAGAGGGTAAGGTACCTAGGATTGGCCAGAGAGCATGCATAGTTTCCTTTGAATAAAGGCAAAGGGGATAAAAGAGAGTGCAAAAATTAAAGGGATAAGTCTGTTGATGTACCTGGTAAAGAGAATGGTAGAGTTATAATTGAAAGAATTAAGAGTAAGACGGAGAATAGGATAGCAATGGAACAAGGAGGCTTTAAGAAAGGTAGGGGGTGTGTGGACCAGTGTTTACAGTGAAACATAAAAGTGAACAGTATTTAGATAAGGCTAAAGAGGTCTTTGTGTCATCTATGGATTTGGAAAAGGGCGTATGTACAGGGTGTTAGGGGGGCCAATGTGGGCAGAGTTGCAAGTGTATGGTTATTAGTAATGTTACTGAAAACAGTGAAGAGTTTTTTACGAGGATTGTGAGGCTCAAGTTAGAGTATGTAGGAAAGAGGGAAATTTTTCCCATAAAAGTAGGCCTTAGAACAAGGATGGTTGATGTCCACCGTGGTTGTTTAATATATTTATAGATCGGGTTGTAGAAGAAGGTTAAATGCGAGGGTCATGGCAAAGAGCGTGGAGTTAATAGATAAAGAAATCAACACCAAAGTGGGAAGTTGTCACGCTGCTCTTTGCGATGACACAGTGCTCTTGGGAGATTCTGAAGAGAAGTTGCAGAGATTGTTTGATGAATTTGGTAGGGTGTGCAAAAGAAAGAAAATTAAAGGGTGGAATACCGGAAAGAGTAAGGTTATGAGATAACAAAAAAAGATTAGTGATGAAAGATTGAAATATCAGATTGAGGGAGAGATATGGAGGAAGGTGAACGTATTCCAATAATTGGGAGTGGACTGTCACGGATGGGTCAATGAAAGATGATGTGAATCATAGAATTGATGAGGGAAAAAAGAGTGAGTGTGCACTTAGGATCTGTGGAGACAAGAACTTTGTCCTTGGAGCAAAGAGGGAATTATGAGAGTATAGTTTTAAAACCAACGCTCCTTATAATGGGGTGTGTGAAAAGCCGCTGGTGATGAATTTGCAGCGAGGAGAAGCTGAGGCATGGAGATGTCAAGTCTGAAGGGCAATGTTGGTGTGAATATAATGCAGAGAATTCGTAGTTTGGAAGTTAGGAGATGTGCGGGAATACCAAAACCTGTTGTCCAAGCTGAGGAAGGGGTTGTTGAGGTGGTTCGGACATGTAAGAGAATGAGCGAAACCGACTGACTTCAAGAGTGTATCAGTCTGATGGAAGGAAGGCGGGGTAGGGTCGGCCTAGAAGGTTGGAGGAAGGGGGTAAGGAGGTTTTTTTGAGTCGAGGGGCTTGGACTTCCAGCAGCATGCGGAGCGTGTTTGAATAGGAGTGAAATGGAGACAAATGGTTTTTTAATACTTGACCTGGGTTGTTGGAGTGTGAGCAAAGTAACATTTATGAAGGGATTCAGGGAAACCGGAGGCCGGAACTTGAGTCCTGGAGATGGGAAGTACAGTGCCTTCACTCGTGAAGGAGGGGCGTTAATGTGCATTTAAAAACTGTAGTGGTAAAGCACCCTTCTTGGCAAGATCAGTATGGAGTGAAATGATGTGAAAGTTATTCTTTTTCGGGCCAACCCTGCCTTGGTGGGAATCGGCCGGTGGTGATAATAATAAAAATAAAAAAAATACTATATAATTTTATTATTTCCAACAAGTCTGCCCAGTCTCCCACCGAGCAGGGTGACCCAAAAAAAGAAAGAAAATCCCCAAAAAGAAAATACTTCATCATCATTCAACACTTTCACCACACTCAGCACATTATCAAATGTTTTGCAGAGGTGCTCTGAATACAACAGTCTAGAGCCAACTACACATATAAAGAACACACCATACCTCCAAACTGCCAATATCCCAAACCCCTCCTTTAAAGTGCCAGGCATTGTACTTCCCAATTCCAGACCAAGTCCGACTAAATGAAAATAACCGTTTCCCCTGAATCCCTTCACAAATATTACACTGCTCACACTCCCAACAGATCGTCCAGGTCCCAGTACCATTCGTCCTCCATTCACTCCTATCTTAACACCTACGGATGCTTCTGGAATCCAAGCCCATTGCCCACAAAACCTCCTTTTAACCCCCCTCCAACCCCTTTTCGAGGGACGACCTCCTACCCCGCCTTCCTTCCCCTATAGATTATATGCTTGTCCATGTCCATTCTACTTTGATCATCTCTCTAATGACCAAACCACCTCACAACCCCTCTTCTGCCTCTGCTAATACTTTTATTAACCTCCACAACCTTCTCCTAATTTCCGAACACCTCCGAAATTTTCTGCATAATATTTAACACCACAACATTTGCCCATAAACAGGACATCTTCCACTGCCTCTCAACCTTCTCCTCGTTTGCTGCATTTACACACCAAGCTTTCACACATCCCATATAAGAGTGTTTGACGACTATACTCTCATACATTCCCTTCTTGCCTCCATAGATTAACGTTTTTGACTCCACATATACCACTCAACGCACCACTCACACCTTTTTTCCCTCATCAATTCTATGATTAACCTCATCCTTCAAATCCCCGCCGACACGTGAACTCCCAGTATCTGAAAACATTCACTTCTTGATCTTCCATACTCCTCCCCAATTTTTGATATCCTATTTTTCTTTACTAAATCATTTGAACACCTCATCACCTTACACTTTTCTATTTCACTGTCAACTTTCTACCTTTACAACACATTCCCAAACACATCCACTAACCTCTTGCAATTTTTTCTTTAGAATCTCCCATAAGCACAGCATTCATCAGCACAAAGTAACTGTTCAATTCAAATTTTGAATTTGATTCCCCCAAAATTTAATCCTACCCCTCTCTCCCGAACACACCTAGCATTACTTCCTTTATACAACCCCAATCTATAAATATATTAAACAACCATTGGTGAAATTACACACCCCTGCCTAAGACCTTACTTTTACCCGGGAATAGTCTCCCTCTCTTCTACAACACCTAAAACCTGAGCCTCACTATCCTCATAAAAAACCTCTTTTACCAAGCGTTTTTTAATATAACTACCACCTATTCCATAATACTTGCAACATCTGCCCACATTGCTCCCTATCCACTCTATCATATGCTTTTCTAAATCCATAAATGGGAATAAAAACTTCCCTATCGTTTTTTTATCTAAATACTGGTTCACAATATATTGCGTCAATGTACTCCTGAATCTACACATCCCCTACCTCACTCTGAAACCCTCCTTTCTCCATCCGCAATCCTAACATTCTTCTTACCCTCTAATTCATCAGTTATAACCCCTACTGTACACTTGTTCCAGGTATACTCAGTAAAGCTTATTCCTCTATAATTTTTACAGTCTCTTTGTCCCCTTCCCTTTATATAAGGACTATACATGCTTCTCCCGGCCAATCCCTAGTACCTTCCCCTCTTTTCAACATTTATTAAACAAAAGGACCAACCACTCCAACACTATATCCACCCCTCTTTTGAAATTTCTGTCATGATCCCATCAGTTCCAGCTGCTTTACCCCCTTCATTTTATGTAATCCTCACGTACCTCCCCCCACACTTACATTCGCTCTTTCTTCACTCCTAAAAATGGTAACCTCCCTGACCATTGCAGAAATACTGCCTCTCTTGTTTTCTTCCTTAACCATTTAAAAGTTCCTC